AGTATTATTTTCATAAGGAACCCCCAAAATAACAGAGGTAATTACTTAGGCTTCTATATTAGGAACTTCAGAGCATATGGGCTCCGAGCTTTAGGGTTTCCGAGCTTCAGGGTTTTACGATTTAAGGCCATCGGGTGTTGTCCTGCATGGCCTGCCGGCTTTTGTGGTTTATGAGTTGGGGTAACGGTCTGGGCATAACAATCTGCACGTGTGTGTGTGTGTAACCCTGTTTCCAAGGGTCAGCTGAAGGATAGAGAAGCAGAGTGAAAGTTGTGGTTGAGTGCGCATTTCAAGTGGGGGTATAGAGAAAAGGCATGGTGACACTCTACTGATGATGGCCTATCGCCATTGCCTGGGGCCGAAACCCCCCCTTATGGACAAGTCCTCGGGCACTGGATGTGCAGCCTGGATTGTCTGAAAGATCTGGCATTGCTCATTTTGCCCACCGTGGCTTGGACACTGACTTTGCATGTCCATGATTCGATCAATGATGTGTATGCCGTTCTGGCTACAATAGTGTGCTTCGGTCGCGGTTCTGTCAAAGAGGCGGCTGTGATGCAGACAGAACATGCTGCCATTCGGTTGAAGGATATGAAACCTCAGATATGAAACGGTCCTTCTGGATCATGAGTCCTTGCATGAAATGCTCACTGAGCTTGATGGTTGAAGATGCCCTTGAAATCTACATTGTCTACATGAGTTAGATGTCTTTTTTGAAGTGTTAGTGCGAAGATTGCCATAATGCCATGGATTCTCAATGCATAGACTGAGCTGGGAATGGCGATTACGTTGAATTTCTTCCTGGCTGATCATGGCCAGTCATCCAGTGGTTCTGGCAACAATCCTATTCAGATGCAGACGAGCAAAAGCAAAGCACCAGCTTTATTGGCACTGTGTGATCAAGTGTCATGTGCTGCGCCAAAGCCAAAACCTAGCATGGCCCCTGAGTTGAAAAGACATGCCTATCTTGATGAAGACTCGCGTGATCAAAATAAACCCATGTTGGTCAGAGAACGGTCTAGATCTGCGGTGTCTTTACCAAAGCCACGGTGGCATCCACCGGGAAATTGGTCAGCACCTGGAAATTGGGAAGATCCTCCCAGACGTAGTCTGCTTGATGCCAGTGTTGAAGGAAGCAAGCACAAGGCCGCTGCTCCATTACCCCATCGTGATGCTTGGATGTCTGTTTCTGCTGGTAGTGGCGCGGGTATGTCGATTTCGACGCCTTTTGCAGTTCCTGCTGCACCACCTCCAGCACCACCTTCCAGTACATGGGCGAAGAATAGATCAGGCGGACAATCTTCTGGTGAGTATCGCACCTTTGATTTGCCCGTGACACATCAGCAAGGATTTGTATACAAGTCTTGGGACATTGAGAAGGTTAAGATTCCAGCCAACTTGCTAACGGAGAATCTTCATGTGATGCAACGCTTGTTCCATGTCCGACAGACTCCATGGATTCCAGAGTCCGAAATGCAGTTCTTTGCATCTGTCATTGGCAGCTGCAAGTTGTTGGACGTCGAGTTTGTTTGCACAGTCAAATTCGATTTCTGGCGATTCAAAGTTGGCCACTTTGATGTAACATCACTGCAACGTGGAGAGTTTTTGTATTATTGGGCTCATGGTACCACGCCTCAGGGGTTGAAGTCTATAATTTCATCTGGCAGAGTTGAAGCAGATGCACGGCATGAATCCGGATTCTATTGTCGCGCTACAGACTCTGAGGATGGAATTCCCTCCATGTTGGATAAGTGTGCCGCTTCCGGCAAATTTTGTTGCCCTGTCATGGTAGAAGGTGTTGCAGTAACACCTAGATCACATGCTACGGTACGCGCAGGGGGCACTCAGCAAGGACAACGAGATGTTGACCACTCTGGAGTGGTGCATTGTATCGGTGATAGCATTTGGATTGTTCATGAAGATTTGCAGAGAGTTCTGCATTATACGGTAGCTGTTATGAAAGTAAAGGCACGCGTGGTTGATCCAACCACCGGAAGACCGAAGTTTCAACGATGAGGCATCCTGATTGTTGTGTGCTCGTGTTACTTCGTTTTTGTTGCTGCTTGTCGTCGTGTTCGGTATCATCTGCAGTAATCCTCATCAGTCTCACTCTCTTGATCCAGACGGATCCGCACCAACGCTGCCAGCCAATGCGGCAAAACTTGCACAGCATCAATGGCGGCAATTGCAGTGTAATTTTCAAGTTGCTTAAACTTCCAAGGTACGCATTCTTCCAGCTTACCTGCCAGTTCGATCATGTGTGTTAGTGTTAGTGTCTCCGTATGTTGAAGTGCCGCGTGCATTGGTATTCACATGTTCGCATTATTGCACATCGCATTTCGGGAACATGCTGTATGCTAGATCTGATGCTTCTGTGGACTAGGGTGCGAGCTTCTGCGGTCCCAACCAGAAGTGTTTGTGTATCGGCCAAGTGCAGTTCCTTTGTTCTTCAGCTTCGAGCGTTTGCTCCTTTCATGAGAGTTTGCTTCTGAGTGCGTGAGCTTCGGACCTTTAAAGTTGACTAGTCCGTGATCGTGTGTATCTTACAACGTCTCAGCGGACATGGCGCAAAGAGTGAGAGTGAACATGAGGGAGAAAGAAGGTTCCGGTAGGTTTTGGCTCAACTCGTGATCCCACTTGAACAGGCACTTTTTGCCGTAGTGGGTGCAATGAGCTGGTGGCAGAAAGAGCAAAAGAAGTGGTCAGGTCAATCTGACCAATGGGGATCCGATTCTTGGACTAACAATTGGGGCACCTCCTCCAATCAACCACATCGTCCAAGTTCCAGTTTCGGTCATGTTGATCTCCCTCAATCGTGGAGGCAGACTGACACCCATTATGATGCCCAAGAATTTCGGGGTCATTCCTTGTTTCGACAAATTCAAGCTACCCCATGGTCGCGAAAGAAACATCTCGTTGGCCAGGACCCTTTGCAAGTCAAACTTGCTCAATTGACCCGTCATGGTGCCGAAGAATATGCGTTTCGCCTACTCTCGGAGGGAAAGTTCGTGGGGGTGGTCACTACCCGGAGCATCGCCGAATCGGTACTCTTATCAGCCGTCCTCAAGATGATTCGCGAGGAACATCTTGACATCGACAAAGTTGCAGAGTATATTCACAAACAACAAAAGCCTGGAGTTACCCCGCCCAGCAAGATTGACCATCCGAATGAGTTTATGCATCCTTTGGCCAGAATTGTGTTCGATGAGATCAAGAAGCATTCACCCCCCGCTGTTGATGCACAAGCCGTCCACAAGGTTGCCGAAATGCAACAGCAACTCAGCAAGTACCAGAAGAAACTTGAAGATGCAGGCATTCAGCTCACACCCACCAAACATCGTCAAGATGATGATGATGATGATGCTCAGCCGCCTTCCAGCAACAAAAGGCGCCGTAAGGAGCCTGGTACAAGCAGCGCCGGAGATCACAAGGTCGTACCAACTCCTGAACAGGTTTTGGATGTGCGCTCCAAAGTGTTTTCAGACAATCTCCCGAAGTCTCACACCAATCTGCAAGTGGAATCGTGGATCAAGTCTTTCCGGATCAAAGGGTTGCAGGCTCATGTGGACAACGTTTCGGAGATGCTTGTTGCTTACACTAAGTCGGCCAAAAAGAAACCCAATTTCCAAGAAGTTGCCATTCAGTATGGCTTACCTATGGGTTTGGCGGCCAAGATGAGCACAAAGAACATCACATCTGTCATTGGGGTCGCATCTTTCCTGGCGGCTTGAACGGCAATGTTGATGCAAGAGTCGATGACCTTCGCAGAGTCCCAGACGTTGTTTTCCAATGCCAAGGTCATCTTTGAGGCTCTCACGTTTTTTATTCATGAAATTAGGCACGTAGAAAAAGCCTTGGCCATTTGGGCGCAGGGCCTTTTGCATGTTTGCTTTATCTTTCATTTCCCAGATAAGACCTTCCGTGTGCAGCAGTTTAAGAAGAGACTGATTGGGCTTGGAGTGACGCCACGCTCATATTCTTTCTCCAAGTTCCAGACACCCAACGCGGTGTATATCAAGATGCCTTGTATGGTTCGTGTTTCAGATCGATGTTTTCATCAGTTACCGAAGTTCTACATTGGGTCCACGTCGGTGGGTATCGCAAAGCGTGAGTTCAATCGTCAAACACGGCTACGCCAAACAGATGCAGGAGATCAAGTCAAAGTGGAATTGGCTATTCGATGGTGGAGCAGCACAAAATCCTATGCTATTTACTCCACCATCCAGTTGCAAACATTTCAAGATTACTCCTCAGCGTGGGCTTTTGAGCATGCGTTGATCGCCAATTGGGCGTCACCTCTCAACTATCCCTTGGTTGCCAAGTTGATCAAGCGTACGTCGATGGGTTTTCACATGCGTCGTCAGTTTCATGATTTTGCAAGGCTGTCCATTGGAAATAGGCTGTTTGCGAAGGTCCGGCGAAGACTGTCTACAGTGCAAAGTCGCCCTGTGTCATTACAACAAAGGCATGCTTGGAAACTTCTCTATGAGCTCAGTCTGTTTACAAAACAGTCGTTTCTTACATCCACGCGAATACGGTCTGCAGCACTACACGATTTCGAGGTATATGGATTGTACAGATTATCGGGGAACCTTGAGGAGCCGGCGAGGTCACGTGTGAGGTCGTTGGTTGCATCCGCAATGCGTTTTCGGGGACTCTCCGTACCGAAGAGCAATTCACCGTTTTCTTGCCCCTTCCTATCTCATGATCAGTTTCCCCGGGATCTTCAAGCTTTCCTTCGACAGATTGTGTTATCCAACAAGCAGTTTGCCATTCCTCTCCATCTGCCTTCTTGCAAGCCGCGTGAAACAGCGTTCCCAAAATTAAAAGAGCTGCTGTTCAATTTCAGAGGTTGGGAACGCAGAGGATACAATCTATTGCAACCTGAGGTCTTGCCTTGTGTATGCCATCGGTTTCTTCGCGATCATCCTTTGGCAACGTCGGCCCATGGACATGTGGCAACCTCTTTGAATGGATTGCGCTTACCTACAACTTTGCGCATGTTTCGGACTGCCAATGCTGGTTCTACTGTTTTCTTTGCTCAAACAAAGTTTTTCGACATTGCTACGGGTGCCTTCAAGAAATGGCTCAAACATCATGGGCTTCCAGAGTTCCTCAAGGATGAGTTTCCAAAGTTCCTCAATCAGCAATGGCCTCAGCATTTGAAATCCCTGGATGAATATCCTCGCTTTACTTTTGCGGACGTTCAACGGCTCAAGAAGTTTCTGGGAGAAGATTGGGTTATTCATCATGAAGATCATCACCCTCAAAAGGTGATGATATTCTGTCCACGGCTGTATTTTCAGGGCGCGTGCCGAACGTGGAGTGATGCTCAGTTGTTTCAACCTTTATCTGGAAGTGCAGAGTACTGGAAGTATCAAGTGCAGCGACTTGCCCCAGCACATATACTGAAGGCATATCCATGGGGATTTCAAAAAGCATCTTGTCTTCCTTCTGGATTTGTATTCCTTAAAGCAAAAAAGGAGTACCTCATGGGTCGGACGTTGATTTCCCATTTCAAAGCCTATCACTCCAAGCTGCTCAAGGCATGTGCCAATGCACTGCTTATGATGCTTCGCCACTGTTGGCCGCAGCATTCCGGCCAACAGAGCATTCCACAAACATGGAAGCACATTCACGAGTTTTTCGGTTCGATTGATTCCGTTGATGACTACCAGCCAGTTGTCTGCAACGACGATCTCGTAGGATTCTTCAACTCGATTCCTCAAGACCGGTTGTTATCTGCAACACAAGCACTTGTCCAGGACTGGATACATCAAAAAGGTGATGGTCCGATCACTGTCAACATGGATGTTGGTCTGTCACTTGCAGAGCGCACTTTCCGGGGAAAGTTCTATCATCGGCCGAAAAATTCGGTAGTCTTGTACCCTATTCACTTGATTGACATCATTGAGTTCAGTTTCCGTTCCTGTATCTTCAGTGCGCTGGGTGCAGTATGGAAGCAAATCCGGGGCACAGGGATTGGAAATCAGGTGAGTCCCGTGATCAGCGAAATCGCTATTGCTCATATTGAGCTTACCTGGTCACGAATCTACAACACCTGGCTTCATCAACCCGTTTATCCCACACTCCGTGTCAGGTACGTGGATAATCGGTTTATGGTCTGTCATGTTTCAGATTTCCATCGACCGGTATTTCAAACATTCCGGCATGAATGGTTTTATGGCAGGCCGGTACAACTGGAAGTGGTGCCATCTTTGGAGTTTTTGGGCTTCGTCGTTGACCCAGGTGAAAGAACCATCACGTACCGTGTTCCATCCAATCTTCATGAAGTACGCGACCCACAGTCTGCAGGCAGTTTGCGTTTGAGAATGTCGGGCTTGAAATCTCGCGCTGCGTTGATCACTCGCTATGCGTGGCCACCAGAAGCTAGAGACCAACAGTTATCTGACCTCGTTCTTGTGTATGTACAAAAAGGATTTTCCCACGAAGACTGCGCCAAGGTCCTAAAAAAGAAGACTTGCAGCAACCGTGATGGTGCCCTGGTGGCTAGTGTGTGTGTGCAACCCTGTTTCCAA